AGTGTCCTCGCCGGAAGCAGACTGAACAGGTTCCCAAAGTCCTGGATCTTGGTCTTGGTCCAGGAGACCTCTAGACCCAAGGGCTTTGCTTCATGGCTAAATGCATCAAGATCTACCACTAAGGTTTCCAAAGACTCAGAATAGCAACATCACCAGCAAAGTCAAGGTCTGTAACCTTAATATTGCCCAGAGGTTATCAACAATGACTTTGAACAGTAGCTTGTCCCCGTTTACAGTCCATACAAGTGTTGAAAAATATTGGTGCAAGGACACAGCCTTGCCCCACTCCTGAACTAACAGAAGCTCGACAAGCACCCATCACACTTTACAGCACTTTCAGTACCAGTATACAGACTTGCTATTAGTCTAATAATCCTCGTTGGAATTCCTCTCAGTCTCAGTCTTCCCACAGAGTAATTTCCGAACGCCTTCTTGAGGTCGATGTAAGCTGCAAGCAGCCCACACCCGAACTCACGACGGTGTTCTAAAATGACTCGAAGCGCAAGGATATGATCTATTGTGGACTTACCAGAAGTGAATCTAGATTGCTCCGGCCTCTAATGCCTCAGTAGGTAGTCCCTGATACGTCTCAGAAAGATGTGGGCAAGAACCTTGCCTCGGTGATTGCTGCAGTCCCATCGGTCCCCCTTCCCCTTCCAGAGAGAGATGACCACACCCCTTAATAGGGGTGTACCTGACCGCCAGATGGCAGCCAGGACAGCATGCAACCTCTGTGCCATAGGTTCACCACCAGCGTTTAACAGTTCAGCTGGAAAGCCGCTGCTTTGCCATTCTTCAGCTTGGAGATCGCCTCCCTAACTTCAGTTAGGGAGGATGGATCCTCACTGATGAGTTTGTCCGTCAACGTAATCTTGGCACTACCATCCAAGTTAACTGTTGGTGGGTCAATCTGGTACAGCTGCTCAAAATACTCAGTCCAACACTCCTGCACCGCAACAGGATCTGAGACGATCTGACCACTTACTGAGCGAACTGCTGTGACTTGTGGTGAGGGCTTGGAGTTCAGCTTTCTCAGGGCTTGGTATGCAGGACGAAGGTCATTTACTAAGAAATGGCCTTCGACCTCCTCAGCAAGACTCCTAATAAGCTGTTCCTTGTACCTTCTTAACAGAGACCGAGTTCTGCGCACCTGAGAATGTGCAAATCCCAATCCCCTGCCAGACGAGCTGCATGGCAAGTATCTATGACTTCCAGTGTCTCCTGTGAGATAAAATTCTATCTTGCTCTCGGTCGTTCACCTAACGATTCTTGGGCTGCATCAAGTGTTTCGCGCTTGAAGGTGTCCCACACAAGTACAGGGTCCGTCAGATTGTCGAGTGCTGTGAAATGACCGCTGGGGAGTTTTGAAGTGTACCTGGAGGGTAGCCACAACCAATCTATGGTCAGTACCACAGAACTCAGCACTGGAACCAGGAACCAGAAATCCTCAAATCCTGGGACCTAGCAAAGTCCCGGAAAAGGAGGCTATTCTCGCTGCCGGTATCACCTCCCGAACCATGAGGACCGACAGACATCTCATAGCCAGCTCGATCACAGCGATACTGCATTGAAGTCACCCAGAACAATACGGATATCTCGCCGGGGACAACTGTCTGCCACAGATGCAAGTTTGGCATTGAACATCTCTTTCACGTCGAGTTTACAAACATCAGTAGAAGCGTACACAGCAATAAGAGACATGAAGCCAATTGCTATCTTCAGTCTTAATGCCATTATTTCGTTGACTTTTACGAAAACGTGTATAGACAAATGTATAAATATATAGGCACACTCACACATATGCAAACACAAATACAAACAAGCACATTTACACCCTTAAACGTTAACCGAAAAGAATAACACTACAACGCACCAGTCATTTTAATTTTCTGTTCCAGTTTCAGGACAGCAATGTCATTGGTTATGCCCCGTCCACCGTAATAGTCCGGATGAAGGAATGCTTTTGCAACGGGAATCACCTGGGTAAAGCTCTCCTTCACCTTTAGATCGTGTATGCCCACAGTTACAGTCATTCGCCTATTCTTGCTAAGAAAAAAAAAAAAAAAAAAGGAAAAAAAAGGAAAAGAAAGGAGAGAAGAGCAAATTATTATGGCGAAGAAAGAGTAGAAAATGTAGAAGCTGTAACATGCAGAAACAGGACTGGGCTATGCCAGCATACTGTTGCCGTTATAATATTACTTTTATTATCAATATCATTCTTATCATTATTGATATCTTTGATAATTATATTATCATTATCGTGAATATACCATTATATGCATGACCATTAGTATTATCATTATCATCAACATCGTCACCATCAGTACTCACCCTGGTATGCAGTGGGCAGCTGTCAGGACAAACAGTTCACTAAAGACAACACCACCACAATAACTTCCACTTGTTCTAAACAAAACCTGGTACCCGCGCTTGTACGGCTCTGCCTCATAGCCTCCCACGATGCGCTGGTCAGCTGAGAGGAGGGGGAAATGGTGCTAATTTTGAGTATGGATTATAGTGTGTGTTTGGGTATTGTGTGTTGTGTTGGGTGGTGTGTGAGTGCAGATAGCATGGCGTGAAAGTGACAGCTGCATTACTGACAATTTCTCATTTTTCAACATATCCTTATGTTTCCAACCAGTGTGTTTCGTATTTAGTAATGAAAAAAAAAATCACGATTTTGACAATAATGACCATAGCAAATATAGCAATCATTATAATGGCAAAGTGTGTGGGTGCGTTTTAGTGTGTATGTGTGTGCCTATGCTTGTATCTGTGGGTTTGAGCGTATGCATGTATGTTTGTATGTGTGCGGGTGTACGTTTGTATGCGTGTATGTGTGTGTGTGCATGTGTGTGTGCGCATGTATGTAACCATGTACGCATATATGTATATGTATGTGTGCGCGGAGACAGAGACTTACAAAGAGGAGGTCCTTCAGAAGACTCAGGAGGAGGAGGTCCTTCACCAGAGACCTCGACTGGAGGAATCGGGGTCTGGAAAATAAATTTAATCATATAAGTTACAAATTATTATCTACAAAGCATGCAACTTGTTATGTAAAGCTGTAAAAATAAGAATAATTTCCCCTAATCAAACGCCGTTTAGACTCTGTGAGGACGACAGTGGTCACGCTTCTCTCTCGACTTTTGAATAGTATAATTACTTTCATGGATATCAGTTAATAAGAACTATTTATTTGGAATTGGTAGAATAGAAAAGAAAATGTATTCTAAACTCATAAGAATGAAGCTTACATTGAACAAAATATGGTTTCGTCCCTAGATCTGTTCAACAATATATGCCTAACTATATATTTGTACACTTTATAGCATTTTATCAGGGGAGTTGTTCATAGTGTTGAGGGCACAGACATAATTGCAGCAGTATAAATTATAACTACCATATCAATCAAGTTAAATTTTGAATTCATTTACACAAACACACTGTATAACAAACATCACAACTGATATATAATTAGTCCCTTACAACAGGTTTACGGCATCTCACAATTAATATTCGAATTGTGGAATGGAAGGGAAACGAGGACCGTCTCAATTGGCCGTCATTATCGCAAGCACCATGCATGAACACAATCACTGTACTTTTATTACTAAATTATCGAGTATAATTACCGAACAGATGTAGAGTGCCTGGCCCATAAAAGCAAGAGGGCGAAACAACACAAAATAAATAAAGTAAATAAAATAAAAAAATTACCTTCAATTTAATATAATTCTAAAATAACAAAAACAATGTTCTCAGATCCAAATACGATATTCCGCGATTCGCCATAATGGTCGCATATTACTAACTGGTACAGGTACAGTTTCTTAATTACATTACAAGTGGGTACCCCTTTTGTACATCTAGCAACCTCATCGACGTAAACGTAGCGTAAATAGTATCTTTCATGAATGTTGTTTGTAAGAAAATGTGATTCGAAACCTATGAATAACAAGTGCTTATTATTATCCTATTTTTGGAAAGTATATGTCATTTGATCTTTCATTTACCTCAAATAAGTGACAACAAAACGTGTGACATTAGTTATCGTCGACTTTGTAGTGGGATATTTTCCAAATGCGATTTCCTGAAATCCTCTTCATCGAAATGGCAACACTTATGTAGGCCAGGCGGTATTCGCCCTCCCTCTTCTTTCAACACAAGGATAAATAATAACTGCACATTTCTTGAAATATACAAAGCTAAATATTTCTTTTAAACATCTATGTACAGCAGGCAAATCAAATGAAAATCGCCAAGTCCTTTGTAAATGCTTTTCGTAGTTGCACCATGTGTTGGTGGCTAATGTAACCAGTTACGTGACTCGAGTTTCTTCTTTTCGCCAGAACCAAACAACATGCATTATTTTCTTATTTATAGAATATTAACTGAACTCAAAACCGCAGTGACGCATTGTCACTGTACGCGCGCTTGCATGTGTGTGTGCAGCGTTTATGGAAATACGAAGTCAATAGATGGGGATGAGTTGTGATACAATATGTATTGTATTGGACGTGAGGTCCAGACTAGGCGAGTCCCCCCTTCTAGCCAGTAGCACCAGCTAGCTCAGAACCATCTGTGGGCATCGATGGCAGCCTGCTGCAGTTTGCGTACCTGGATTTTTTTTTCTTTTTTGTCAAGAGCCTATATCAAGAGTCATCATGGTGCCAAAGTCTCACTCGTGTATGAGATCTTGACTAGGTCAGACCTTGTTTAAAAAAGCAGCAGCAACAAATTAAAAATCGTGTACCACTTGTTACCCTAGAGTCCGGGGCCTCTCGTCTCGCTCTATATTGTGGTTTCTGTGTTGTATAATGTATATTGCACAGAGTAAATTTCAGTGCTTTGGTCTTGCAGGTCACACGAGACTACAGTAGGATTAGTCAACACCCAACCTCAGACTTGCAGCTCTCTACACCAGGGTAGCCCTCACGGGCATTGACCCCTGAGTAGTGAGGCCCAGTAGTCTGGGAGCGTCCTTTGAGCACTTTTTCTTATATTCTGAATTCCTTCCTTCTCTTAATGTGACTTCCCTGAGCCTTGTGGGCTCCCGTATTCGCTTGGGGGTGGGCATCTAATGCCCGTCCTTCGCTTCGGGAAGTTTGGCGGTAGGGAAGTGTCCTCCACTTAACTCGATCCCTATGTGGTATTGGAGAACGCAATCAGGCTTCCACTGGAGGGGTAGAGGACGATTAACTGCCACACTCTCTTAGCCATTGCTGTTAGGTTGATTACCAATAGTTAAGGGGTTTATTGGTCTTTCAGGACAACGGGCAAGCGCCCAGAGGTCGGACTTGTCCGATGCCCATGATGTCTGATCCCCCGGCTACCCCTTCTCCCAGAGGAGGGGCGACCCATGACACCTCTAAGACCACGACTATGAATAATGGAACCACTACAATTGACCAACGAGAACGACCTCATGCTATCCCTCCAGAGAATGCAAGGTATTTGGCTGTCAGATGCGTGAATGAAAATCAGTTGCTTCATCATCAAGGTCCTTGATGGTCAAGAAATTGCGAGATGGTAGCTTCCTTGTAAAAGTGCAATTCAAAACCTAGGTTAACGACTTAAACTGAAGCAGATTCATGATTTCAAGGTAAGAGTAACTATTTCTGTTGGCTCATATAACTGTAAGGGAGTAGTCTTTCATAGGGATTTGAGAATGATGATTGAAAGTGAAATTCTTGAAAACATGAAGGACCAAGGCGTAATGGACCAAGAAAGATAATGTGTGAACGAAAACCGGATTGTGTTTTTTGACCTTTGCTTCAAGTAAAATTCCTGAGTATGTCTATATTGGATACGAACGAGTCCAAGTAAGATCTTAAATTAAAAAACCTGTGTGCTGTAATAGATGCCAAAAATTTGGACACACCTCATTACGCTGTATTGATAAGGATACTGATAAATTCACTTACGGTAAATGTACTGGAGTTCATGACATCACTACATGTACTGGAAACCCTTTCAAGTGTGTTAACTGTGGAGGTCTCAATCAGTCAGGCTCTGCCATGTGCAGCAGCCTGAAGAAGGAGACTGAAATATTAGCATACATGAGAGGTCATGATTTTAGTTACCATGAAGCCAAGAGGAAAGTTGAAGGCTTGACCAACAAGCCAAATAATACCTATGCTTCAGTAGCAACTAACAACACTCCCAGTGCAAGCAGTATCAGTCAGGTGCTTGCAGCTAAGGATAAAGAAATTACTGATATTAAGGAAACGGAAAAATGATTAACAAGTCAAATTGTTGAATTGAACAAACCAATAAAACAAATTACTGAATCAAACCAGCAAAAGCAGCAACGTAAGGATGATACCAAATCACAATCTGGATCATACGTTCCCGTCCAGGTGACTCCTAATAAGACTCCTCAGAGCATATCATCTTCAGCCAGGTGTCTCCCTCGCAGAGAGATGCAGGACATGGAGTCTTTTGTTTCCGTCTTCCCGCGAGAGGTCACTGGGAAGCTCGGGAGAAGAGGCGCCTCCCTCCCAGAAAAAGGCACTTCCAAACCCCAAAAACATAATCTTCGCATTAACCATTATACAATGGAACTGTCGAAGTCTTAGAACTAGAGTAAACGACCTTAGATTATTAGCCTCGTCTTATGCTCCCGATATTATCGTTCTCCATGAGACCCATTTAAACAACTTTATCTCTGATGAATTGGTTTCGTTGAGAAACTACCATCTGTGTCGGAAGGATCGAGAGGGTAGGGGTGGAGGCGGAGTCGCCACGTACATCCACCAGAACCTCCCATTTATAGAAATGACTATAGAATCTACTTTGTAGATTGTCGCATGCAAAGTAAAAGTCAATAGCACGTATATGGCTATATGTTCAGTTTATTGTCCACCTGATAATGTGGTAATTTATGATGAGCTCTTTGCTCTTCAGGATAGTCTGCCCCAAATAAAGTAATTTTAGGTGATTTTACTGCTCATCATACATTATGGGGTTCCCTGCGGGTGGATGGTAGAGGTGAGCAAGTAGTTAAGCTTGTTAATGATTCAGACCTAATCCTTCTGAACGATGGTAGTCCAATGCGAGTGGATGATAATAGCGGTAATTTAAGCTTTATTGATCTATCTCGGGTCTCTTCAGCAGTAGCAGCTAAGTGCCTGTGGCACACCATTGACTTGATGGGAAGCGACCACTTTCCTATTTGTATTATATATTCATGCGACACAATCAGAATGCCTTCAACACCGAAATTTAACGTAGAAAAAGCAGACTGGGTCTCCTTTATAAGGAGCGTCAAGCTCGAACTTGTTGGAGAAACCATTGATGATAAAGTAAACAATATTCAAAATTCTATTTTAGATGCAGCAATGAAATCCATTCCCAAGACTTCGGCAGATAGCGTAAAAGCATAGAGTTCCAGGTTGCCACAGGGTACTGCGTGAATGCAATAGGGCCTACAGGCTTTTCAAAAATAACGTCACAAGCCAGAACTTTTGCAACTATAAATTAGCAAGAATTAGGGTTCACAGAACAATCAGACAAGCCAAAAGAGACATCTGGCAAAGCTTTGTCTCTACAATCAATAGCAACACCAAAATATCACAGGTTTGGTCCAATGTCAATAAAATCAATCTTTCAAAATTAGAAACATCATTCATAAGGGAACCACTTTAGAATCGCCTAGAGACGTCGCTATTGCATTCGCCAGGCAATTCTCTTATACAAGCAGTTCAGACAACTAACATCCTGCATTCCTGACCACCAAGGAAGCGGCTGAGCTGCAACCCACACACTTTGCCACAGGAGATGAATTTAATTACAATAAATACCTTACAATGAGTGAACTTGTCCGGGCCCTAGAAGCCTGTAGAGGAACGTCCCCAGGCCCCGATGAGATTCGGTATGAGATGATAAAGCATTGCTAGAAGTGTACAATGAAATTTGGAAAAGCCAGACTCTTCCAAACTCATGGCACTTCGCCCATATCATTCCCATATGCCATCTCCTACCGCCCAATTGTGTTGACAAGTTGCTTATGCAA